TATCGTCAGGTTTCGTCAGACGAAACCATTGACGAAACTATTTCGTCAGGGCAAATTAGTTTCGTCAGGCATCATTACTTCCATCCACTAAATGGTTAAAGTTTTTAATTTAGAACAAATACGTAAAATGTGCAAACGCAATATATACAGTAAATATAATTCTGTAATATTTTTATTTTTTTTTGCGTGTGTGTGTGTTTACCTCATTCTTTAATACAAAGTTTAGTGCAGTGACTTTTCGTCGATTATCACCATATTCAAAACCGTTATCTAGTATAATCATTGTCTTTTCAGCAAGATCCTTCATTAATGTAGTAGGTTCTACCGAGTAAAGTGTTTTTATGTCCCTCATAAGACCAAAATGACCCATTTGTGATATATCCCAAATAAAAAACCCGAGACCAAGGACTTTCTTAAATAGTTTAACCCATGCCAAATACTCATTGCGTGCTCTGATATTTAAATGAATTAATTGAAAGAAAATAAATAAATAAATATATATATATATATTTGCTGAAAAATTAGACACAATATTACTTACGTTTTGTGATTTGCGACAAGAAGGACATCTGGATAGAAACCTTGAGGGAACCCACGGTAGATAGTTGATACTCTGACATCAAAAGATTGTATATGAACAATTTTTGGTGAAGAAGGTTCATTAATCTAAAATTAAGTATTATATCAAAAATTCTCAGTTTAACTTTTTTATGCAAGTATAAATTTTTTTACTCCTGAAAGTTTATATAATTTTGAAAACTATACTTTGCCAAGCTCCAAATATAGCCAAAATTCTGCATATTCAAATGCCTCTGCTTCAGTTAATGTTAAAGTAGCCTCTAATCTTAACGTTTTACCAGCTTTTAACAAAGGAATATCGAAAATATATTCGTTTTCCATAGTTTGCACTGGTGGAATGATACTAACACCTTTCTGATATGGAATCAAACCAAATTTTAAAGCAGAAGATGAAACTTCACCACCAATTTTACATAATCTGACACAAATAAGACGTTTATTGTTTGAGAGAGCGCCGAAATCCACTTTTGATGTGTTTGTTACATTCCAGATAACTTTAGTCACATGGCCAACAACCTAAAGATTTAGAAACGACAATTATATATTAATAGAGAAAGAAAAATTAAATACAATGGATTAAAATAAAATTTACCATAGAATTCATATGTGAAATTTGGGTGAGCTCTATAGGAAATTGAATATTAATAGGATGTCCAATGAGATTGAAGGCTGGAAGCATCCTTTCTAGCCCTGTCATTGTTGCTGTAAAAAACAGTGAATCAGTTGCTCGAAGAGGTGGTCCTGATATTTAATTTATTAAATATTATTAGTATGTAAATCCAAGTTAAGTAGCGCTTTAACGTTTAAATCTAAACCTGGCTTATTAACTATATGCCCCTTGAGACGAAAAGAAAAAGGTTGAGAACAATTAACATCTCTATAAGAATGTTTATCAATCAAGTTTGGTAGCACGATATGTTCCTTTGGTCGTTGGTTATGGATCCATGTTCTATCATTAATGTTAATGCGGATATCCCCTAACAAATTGAAATTGAAATATATAATTGTAATATATTAATTTATATATATATATATATTAATTTATAGGATACGTCTTGGTGTAGGCATGCTAGATGTATTGCGAACCGTTAAATAATCTATAATGATTATGGCTTCAGGTTCATAAGCTCCTGTAGTGGAATGAGTAATAACATTATTCAAGCGTATATCAAAAATTTCATTATATTCTGTAACTATATCTGTAAAGCTGGATAAGATTAATGTTAAAACTCAATAATTTTCTCTTAAATGTAAATACAAAAAAAATAACTTCTTTTTTTTTTTTTTACCTATTTTTAATCATAAATCGGAAAGCACCGTTAGCTCCTGCTGCACCATTGTAAAGAGGAAATGTTGGGCGTACTCCATTAGAACCCGAAGGGCCAGAAAAACCCCCTAATATAAGTAAAATAAGTTAAAAATATTACCTCCTCTTCCTCCGCTTACGTTTATACTATAAGAGATACTTGGAGTCCATGAATTCACAAACAACAACAGTAATCCTGCGTCAGTATCATTCATTCGTAAGATGATTCTGCCTCCATTTCCACCCGCAACACCACTACAAACGCAAAATAATAATAATAATTAGAAAGTTAAAAGTTTATAGTAACTAGTAAATTTGGGTTAATGCTAACCTAGTTCCTGCACCTGTAATTTAAGAAATATGCAATATTATATCAATAAGTCCATTTAAACAATAATAAACAAAATAAGCCCAATATTTACCCGCATTACCACCGTCACCACCTCTTCCTCCATTAGTCCCGCTGGTATATCTTTATTATTGACAGGAATTAATTAATACCTTTGATTTTAAATCTCTATATTCAAACAGTAAGCAATGATAATTGACATACCTAGTAGCATCAATCCCACGAGAACCCATGGCACCATTGCCTGAAATTAAGTTCATGAATCGATATGCTTACAATCAAAATATTGACAAAATAAAAAATACTGACCACCATCCCCACCAATGCCGCCATTTCCTCCATCTCCTCCGCGAGCTGATGTATATGAAAAAATAATGGTATTAATTATTAATTATATTATTTGATTATTATTAATGATTATTAAAAAAAAAACAGAACTAGGATTTTTATTTACCATTTAACACAAACATATTAACATTAGTGCATGATAAAGTGTTTTGATAATCCCTAATAGCGTAACCTGGTGCACGTTCACGATATTTCCCTGAAAATGCAATCGAGGCACCAATAATGCTATCTCTGAAAATTGTTTATAAATATAAAATAAATAAAATAAATTCACAAAAAAAAATGAAATATTTCATTGTAAAAAAAATTATTAAGGAAATCGAACCTTTCTGCTAGATTCAAATCGATATCTATTAAAATGGAGAAATAAATTGATTTAATTTAAATTTTATATATTTTAATTAAAAAATTATCCTTTGATGAAATGAATTTATCAGACCTCCGGCATCGCCTCCTCTAGTAGGATTTGTAGCATTATTTCCATGATTCCCATTTTTCCATCCACTACTAGCGATTGACGCATGACTTCCATTTTGTCCATGATTACCAAAATAACCAGATACATCGAGTACGGTCTTTGACATTTTGTTATTGGGATTTGAACAATAATTTAAATTGAAAATTGATGCTTAATTGAAAAATATAGTATGGTTAAAAAAATAATGATTATGAAAATTTGTAATATTATATTAACAATACAAATTCTATTATTGAATGGAACATTTTTTAAATTTATATATAATAAAAATATAAAATTTGAGAAAAGTCCTGAATTTTTAACTCTATTCTTAAACTATGCTTAGTAAAATATGTTTAGAAAACTGAAAAGTATATACATATGTAGAATTTTCGGAGTAGATAATGCAAATTGTTTGTTATAATTTATATCTGTTTCACATATTCATAAACAAATGCTAGATATGAAACTGGAACTGTCACACATGCGTATAATTGGTAAATTGTTATTACTTTATATAGAAACTCTAAGATTCTCTGTATCCGATGAAAAGCATATAATTACAGCATTTTCGAATTAGATTTTCTGTATTCAATGGACAAGCATATAATTACAGCATTTTCGAATTAGATTTTCTGTATTCAATGGACAAGCATATAGTTACAGTATTTCAAATTAGTGGGAATTTTGGCATATATCCAATAGGACTGCCAAAGATCGACACAAACATTATTCTCGATCGGAAATTTTATTTGCATCTATAATGATGAAACGTTATTATCATGATTTTTCCATTTCTTTTATTTATGCATATACTGCAAATAATTATGAAGAAGTTTCTAACTGCCGATGTGTAACTGCATATATTTAGACAGTTAATTTATTTCGCACTGCTATTGCAGTGATGCACAAAACCTGTCAGAAATTTCTGTTAAACTGACAACTTAGGAACTAGGGTAATGCACAGCTTTGTATTGTCATACGTATTGCACAAACGTGCGAGACAACAAATTTCAAAAATACGTTTTGATATGATCTTCACAATGTTTATGCATATGCATGAAAAAAGTATGATCAAACTACCCCAGTAACTCCGTCAAAAGTTCATTAAAATGGCAAATATGTGCAATTACGGCAAATATACGCAATTTATTATATAAAGTTTATGTTTGTAACGAGTTAATACGAAAATGTTTCAAGGAATTTTTTCTCATGTGCACAGAAAGTGACTCCGGACATAAACTTTATTATTTTCACTTTAGCTTTAAATTTTCGTTTATCAAAAAAAAGCAGGTGCATCACACCGTGCATTGTATTAGAGACTGGACTCGAGTCAACTCGTAGCTTAAAAAACATAGTCTTAACTCGAATCAACTCGAGTCAAGACTATGGTTTTTAAACTACGCGTTGACTCGAGTCCAGTCTCTACATTGTATAACAATACAATCTTATAGATCAAAGCAATACTTATTTATTAAAGGTATTTGCATTGCTAGCTCAGCTGTAGAACCTATAGATAATCCCAATCTTTCACGTTTATTAAGATCCTTACACTTACTACTACAGCGTAACGAATGCTCTTGAATAGTGGTGCTTATGGTCCATCAAATATCTAACGACTATTATGATCGGAAACTATAAGTGAATGACAACTATTTAAGTTTATTGATAATGTGACTAGTTGTAAAAATTCCCTAGGACTTAATAGATAAGAGTGAAACGATATAGCCAGCTCTTTATTATAATGTGAAAGATAGCGAACAAAAAACAAAAATGTTTTGTATTACCAAACCGACCCATTTTTTTCAATTTTTCAATGTTTTTTTTAATCCCATTGTGCCAATTATTCTATTTTTGCGATTTATTTTTCCGTAATTATCCGATAGGACCGACAGAAAAAAAATACTCTTAATTTTCTGATTCCTTGTTATGCAAAACGACAAATTAATTTCGCGTAGCTTTAGATGTGGCAAAAAATTATATAATTTCTAACCTGGCATTTGATTGGACATTAACATTTTATCCCAATTTCGAAATATTCAGAAGTATATTCTTGAAAATACTTAAATATATCAAGATATATACCAAACATAATCACGTCAAAACCCATAAAAGAATATAAACTCTATATGTGGTCTACCTTTTAAATTATCTGATCTTGCAATAATAATCACTTCAGCGACAAACCTATCATATGATTTTATGAGACAAGTATTAGTTTTCGTGGTCGAGAGTAATGCTAAGGTTGACGTTGAGGATAAATAAGGCTAGCTCCGAAAATAAATACTTTGGTTTTACTGTGTTTATCATGATCATTTTTGAACAGAATTTAATTTACCAAAATTGTTATTGAAAGTCGAAAATGCAACAAAAATAAATCTAAGTAAATATTTCTCTTTGAAAGTGCACGCTAGAGGTCGATTTCTGTATGCCAAAAATATTTTTGGAGCCGGTCTTGTCTTGTGAATTACCAGAATCGAAACTTGAGTACGTAAATCAAGTGGCACATGTTTAGTTTTATGTTGTTTAGATCACTTGAAGTTAAATTTTCGGTTAGCATTACTCTTAGAACTCTTGGGAAGTGGAAGGAGAAAATGAAACGAATAAATAAACATGAACAACATGATAGTTCCATTATGACGAATTAACTTCAAATTCAAAAGCTGCCAAACTGTAGTGTATAAATAAAAAAAAACTAAGTGTTAAATAAAAGTATTAATAAAAATAATTTTTTATTATTTATTTACATTAGTAAAATTTAAGAATTTTGACATGTTTGAATAGCATAATTCAAATAAGACTCAGTCTGCCATTTGGTCTAGTCAAATGTCAGGTTAAGTAGTATTTACATTATGCTATTCAAACATATTAAAATTTTTTAAAATTTTAATTTGTTCCAATATTATGGCATGTATACTAACATTACGACGCATTTGCGGAATTAAGCAGACAATTGGTCATCAAATCCAAGCATTTGGTCCCCGAAATTAAATTTTAGTTACCAAATGATATATTAATCGATCAATGGTAAACCCCGAAAATTTTTTGGGGAATTTACAAATAAGGGCCCAGAAAG